GCACTGGCTCTTTGGCTTTGAAACGGGGATGAGATGAAATGGAGACGCCCCCTAGAATCAGGAACGACTAGCAGATATGTGCAAGGGGAACCTTTACTTTTTCCTTACACCTTAAAATCTCATCCACATCTCGGTAAAAGTCCTTGACTGCACCGAAAGGGAGTTTTAATCTCCCAAAAATGTGACAACACACCTCAAAGGAGCCCATTTTAAGAAAACCTTCAGGCCAGCTTTTCCCAAGCTGATTCCCCCCCTCCCCCACAAGATGTGTAACTCATCAGGCAGCAAACTACAAAAATAAAAATGAGAATTCTCACTCTTCAAATGAGAACAAATGAAGGCTGCTGATTTTGTGGCGTGTTCACAGCCCTGGCAGTTAAATTTATGACACCATTATCTTCGATTATAAATGATGTCATGCAAATTTATGAAGGGCACATTGACACAACTGGCTGAACTGAAACCGAGCCACAGTTTCATGGCTGAGACTTGTGCGTGAGCCATTCCTGTGTGAGTCCCGCTCTGTTCCCATGTGTTAAGGCTTCCTTTGAGTTTGCCCTCCCCCCCCCCTTTTTTTTTCTGGGCTTAAGATGCTCCTAACCATTTTTAAATCGTACATTTTGCAGGTGGAAGGCACACATGACAATAAGTAGCCTCGCTAACCTTGCTTGCATCCTGCCATAAAAACGGAGGGAGGGTGGTTACAATAATTTTGGGAACATGTGCAGGAGGCTGAAAGGGAGTGGGTGGGAGGGAATGGTACTGATGGGAACCAGAGGTGTTAAACCGCATTGATCCAGCCACCCAAGGATGCCTGGCCTGGGAAAGAATGTGAAGCTGTTTCAAGATGCAGCACTTTTGAAAGCATCGTACCGGGTTGCTATTGGACAACGACGATGTGGTCAAAGGGGAGAGGACCATGGAAGGGGAAAACCTGTGTGCAGGAATACTCAGTTCTAAGGATAAAAGCAGGAATATCGCTTCAATTCTTAGTAAAAGAACCCATCATGCCAATCAAATGGAGTCGAGGGTCTTTCTTTCCCAGGAGCCTAGCTTGGGCAGGTCTGACAGTGAGCCATAATAAGCAAAAGTCCTTTGTGAGGGTAACTGCTAATTGTTGGCTGTCTTGAATTTTCCAGCACTTTGCTTTTAACGCTATTGCCACCCTTCTCCCACAGGTTGCAAGAAGCCAGTCTCTGCATCAGAGAAGGAGATGGACTGGGCTCAGATCGCCTGCCACCGATGTCTGGTCTACCTGGGGGATTTAGGTGAGAGAGCATTTTCCTGGGATAAAGTCCTGCGGCTTGGATTTATTTGAAATCAGGTGGGATGGGGGGAAGCCCTATCTAAGTAGCAGACCTACTCAGGTGGCTAAGACGCTGAGGTTGTCGATCAGAAATCTTGGCGGTTCCAGTGGTTCGAATACCTAGCACGGCGTTAAGGAGTGAGCTCCCGTTGCTTGTCCCAGCTTCTGCCACCCTAGCAGTTTGAAAAATACAAGTAGAAAAATAGGAACCACCTTTGGTGGGAAGGGAGCAGCGTTCCGTGCGCCTTCGGTGTTGAGTCCTGCTGGCCACATGACCCCGGAGACATCTTCGGACAGCGCTGGCTCTTCGGCTTTGGAACAGAGATGAGCAGCGCCCCCTAGAGTCAGGAACGACCAGCACAGATGTGCGAGGGGAGCCTTTACCTTAAGTAGCAGACCATATAGGTTGTGATAACCAAAGTTTGAGATGAGCCCCTTGCGAGTTCGATTTTACTTTTCAAATGCGTTTTGAGGATTAGGAATTCCCAACTGTCTGAAGCATTTCCAGATACTCCGCTACCTAAAAAGGATTAGTATATTTTCCTTTCAGTTGGGTATCGTTCTCCCGTGCTAGTTAATGACTGCCATAAAGTAATTTATTTCCTTTCAGTCAGGTGGTCTAAAGCTCCCTTGTTCCATTCTTCCCCATAAAACCGAATCAAGCACCCTCTGTCGCGTATCCTCCTAATTGTGTTCCTGAAGGCTTCTGTGTATCTTTTGTCCCTTATCAGCTCGATATCAGAATGAATTGGCAGGCGTAGACACAGAATTGCTGGCTGAAAGGTTCTACTATCAAGCGCTCTCTGTCGCCCCACAAATTGGTGAGTATTTAGCCATCCGACAAGCACACACGCACAGCTGTGGTGGGTTACGGCCAGCATGCCCCAGTACGGGCGTACCGGTGCCTGCTGGGAGCATCAGGTACCATTCCGGTATGGTGCTTTGGAAGGCTCACCCGCCCGCCCACCTGTGTTCCTTACCTGTATTTGATCCGGCCCCATCACAGGGTACTGGTTGCGATGGGATCTGGAACCCACCACTGACGTACCATCAAACACGCACTTGTCTATTTTATAACTAAATAGAATAGGAGTCAGCAACTTATCTAAGCTTTTTTTTTTTTTGCAAATTTTTATTTTTAAACATAAAAACAAAAAAAAATTCTCATCCATTACATACAGCATGTCATTTGGTTACAAGTGTTTTTGCATCCATATTCTGAATTACATTTACAATCTCAGATCTTCCATCTAATATAACTAAATACCTCCCTTTCATTATACAACATATATTCAGTTACGATTAGTATTTTTTTTTCTTTTCAATAATTCCCTTACATTCTTGATTGTCTGTTTAATAACAATATACCTTTATATAACCACTTATCCCATTCTGAATATTTTTACAATATAAAAAAGATTTACCAACTATTTATAATTTGTATATCACTGTTTTCAATTATGTATAATCCCACTGATCATCTATCAAGTATGCTTATGTTCATTATTGTCCTTGTACATCATA